CAAAATCCAACGCACACCATGCCCCTGCCTTGATGGACTGGAGACTGGCTGCTGTGCTCCACATGCCACAGAAGTCAGATGGGGGAAGTGGCACTTTGGTGATGTCACTAATTCATACAAAGGTTGCCTCAACTTGCAGTGTTGGCCAAGCTACAAGCCATATTGCTGTGTGTGTTCATAGCTACTGTTAAATGACAGCTGCTGAAATAAGAGTGACTGTCAAAAACACGCTTTTGGGGTAAGTCCTCCAGTAGCTATCATCCAACCAGTTGACAAACCAGGGTACTGCCAGACTCCAGGTCATGCCTTGGAGTTGTATCAATCACTTTGCATCTCATTTGCAGAGAAAACAGTTGAAATTTCTGATAATGTGCCTCACCAGCTTTAATACCATGGTGAATCCTATAGGTATGTAGACCCTACTAACCTAGTCCAACTACCAATGGTACTCATTGGTGGAGATTTTGATTTGATGAGCTTGAAACTCCTGGAAGTACTCTGAATCATACACCCACGTAGTAGTGTGCATGCATGACAATGTTATTGTCATACCACCAACCAACTGATCAGAGTGGCTGATCCTAGGAAATGCATGTCACAGACGAGATGGTCTTCGTATAGACATGCTAATCCAATAAAAGATCAAATAGAGTAGGCTACTGTTGCTTACACTAGAATGGTTAAATAACAGCACAATATTTTCTCCATATGTATCTGAATATCAACATACCTCTTGAAATTTCTCCGCTTCCCTTTCTTTTATTTCCTGGTCCATAGCTTTCCTCTTTGCTCTTTCCTCCTCAATTTTTTTCTGTATTTCTTCTTCAGACAATTGACCAATTTTTTCAAACTTTTTTTTCAAATTCTTTGCTTGAATGGAGCCACTTCTTTTTAATCTTATTAGTTCCTCATATTCCCTGCTTAACTCAAAGGTTTCACACTCTTCCTCCTCCTGTCAAAGAAAAACATGCTGCAAAGTTATTGGCAATGAAACAGATTTCCTGCAGCAAAACCACATTTAATTTATGGACCACTCATGACAAACTGCTAATCATGTTGATGACTTTGATTTTTAGAAGAGCATTAAATGGCTTGGACTTTCTCTAGCCTGCCTGCTGTTTATTTTGCTAGCTGACTTCTAACTGAAATGTTAAGTCTACGGCAACGAGCTTTAAACTATGAGCATATTTTCCTCGGTGAATGGTTTACTTCAAAAAGTGGATAATTGAAAGTATTACAGTCTTTAAATGTGAGATAATGAGACAGACCTCTCCCATTTCTTGTCTAAGCTGCTCAAACTCTTGCTTTTCTATTTCCAGTTTTTGTCTACGTTCTTCTTCTGTGCGTCTCTTTTCTTCTTCCATTTTCTGCCTCAGTAACTCTTCAAAGTTTATTTCCAGTTTTCCAGGTGTAAGAGATTCTTGAGATAAAGTTTCAGATATCTGTGAAGATGCATCGTCTGGAATCTGTAGGAAATAATTTATTATTTTATTAATGATAGATGGTAGATGCACTGTATATAATTAAATATTTACAGTGGTGTAGCTCCTATACAACACATGTTTAAGGATGCCCATGGGCTTTCCCCCAAGATCTCCAAGATAATGGAGGTTATGTGGCTGATGTGGACAGTCTAGCAGGCTTCAATAAGGAAGGAGAACCAGGCACTGCTCCTGTGCCAATGGAATGTCTTGCGGCACTGCTAACTGAAGTGGAAGGAAAGTGATTTTTGCTGGTTCCCCTTCCTCACTGCAAGCCCCAGACTGTGGCTTTTTTCTCCCATAAATTGCATCTGTGTTCTGCATGTCTCAAGGGACTGCCTTCTGAGTGTCTTGATGTGCACACTTAAAAGAAGGTTCTTTCATCTCTGGTTCCCCTTTAAAATTACATATAAAAGTGTTTCTAATGTGGAAGGCTTTCTGTATCTGTGCAACTGGTTCATGCTGTACTATGTTTACTTCTCATTGTACAGTTGTGATCCTAATTATTACTTACTTGGAAATAAATTCCTTTGAAAAACAGGCTTTCCTTCCACATAATGACTTTTATTTCAATGGGGCTGTATCTCTGTGGGCTGAATCCTGTGGATCCATTCTGCTAGCAGTGGCACTTTTCACTGGCACAAGGAGCCCTATCCTGAAACAAGAGAGTAGAAAGGGCTACTTGAAGCAAAGCCCCACTGCTAATAAAATGGATCCGTGGATCCAGCCCATGCAAAATGCTGCTTGATTGCAGCAAATGGTGGAATGAAGACTGAAGTGTAGAAAAAATTAATATGGATAGCATAATACTAAACAAAACCAGCCCCAAGAAAGCTGACAAACTGAACACAGATACAAGAATTATAACCAACTAGGAATGTCACTGAACATTTGGCTTTTATTTCTCCTCTTTAAAACAAAACGCCACATGGTCCATTTCCTCACCAGATGCAATCTTTTTCTTGCATACTTTGGTCAGAATCCTTATTTACTGATTAGATGCTCCAGAGAGACAATGGATAATGTTGTTGTTCAGAGACATGAAGCCTGTGGTTCATATTCTCACACTTCAAATATGTGGGGGTTTTCATGGAGACCTCTACTGAGTGGTTTCAAACTAATTAAGCATGAATCAATTTGAATCTTCTTGTGACTTGGCTATAATGTAGTGGGAACCAGTTTTATATTGAAGTTTAGGGCTGTGCTGACACATGGTGTTCACAGTTTCATTTGAAAGAGATGTGTGTACTAGAAAAACGTTATTTACTCCCACGCAGGTTAGCATTCCCAGCTCCTGAGTACCACCCAGATTTGCATTTTGGTGTCTGCTCCTTTAATCAACTGTTGACACCCAGCTATATCTGTTGATGGATGGCTGCTCAGACACTGCCCCAGACATTCTGGGTAGGGGACTGGAGGCTGTGGCTGATTGGTTGAAGCAGAATCAACTGAAATTAAATCCATCTAAGATGGAGATCCTGTGCCTGAGCCGCGGGGGGGGGGGTAGAACTGGGGATCTGGCTCCCCACCACTGATGGGGTACTTCTAGCTCCAGCGTCGACGGTGAAGAGTCTGTGTGTGACTCTGGATGCCTCACTTTTAATGGAGACCCAGGTAATGACCATCACCAGATCTGCCTTTTACCATCTCCAGCAGATCAAGCAGTTGGCCCCCTATCTCTCTCCCTGTGACTTAGCTACAGTGATCCATGCATTGGTCACCTCCAGGTTGGATTACTGTAACTCGCTCTCCATAGGGCCACCCTTGAGACTGGTCCAGAAACTCCAGCTGGTTCAAAATGCAGCTATGAGTGTCCTTACTGGGACTTCAGGACAAGAACATATATAGCCTGTGCTCCACCAGCTGCATTGGCTTCTAGTGGAGTCCCGGATCAAGTTCAAGGTTTTGGTATTGACCTTTAAAGACCTATGTAGTCTGGGACCATCATATCTGCAGGACTTTTCGACTCTGGCTCCAGCCTGATGGAACAGCCTTCCCGTTGAGATCAGGGCCCTGCAGGATCTACAACCATTCCACAGGGCCTGTAAAACAGAGCTGTTCTGCCAGCCCTTTAGTTGAGACGGTGGACACCATATTAGATTGCCCCCCCCCCGCCCTACCCACCCACCCCCCCCATTCTATTTACCATGCTCTGCACAGGTGGTCTTATATATGAATTGGTGGAAATTTGTCCACTTGCAAAAACTAGTATATATCAGCATCCAAACAGAGGTTAAAGTCTCTGAAAGTATTTAAATTGGATTATTGCCATCTGCTGATTTATGTATAGAGCCGAATTTTAATTTTTACTGCATTATGTCTTGATCTTTTAAATTGTTATATTTATACAGTGTGAGCCATCCTGGGCCCACATGCAGGGTAGGGCAGGATATAAATCAAATATAAAAAATAAAAATTAAATAGTGCATAAGTTTGGATCCTGCAAAGCATTTTTGCTACTGGAAGAATTTTTTGTCAACAGACGACAACCCAAAATACCTCCTGAAATGATACTTCTGGAGGACAGGAGATCCCTAAAAACAGCATGTGAGAGGCTTGCAGCAGGAGGGGTCTTTGTCACCGGATCCTGTTGGGGTGCCATTTATAATTTTTTCCCCAGCCTATTATACAAATTCTCATCTTTCACTTCACATATACCTTCTTCCTTCATCTTAGAGCATCTCTAACGTTGCTTCAAGTTGACATGCTTAGAACCTACACATGCTAATTTCAGTAAATTAAACATAGAACTGACAATCATCTGTTGCATGGGAGCACTTCTGGCGTTTTGAAGACTATGAATTCAAATTTTGCTTTAGCTGTTATTTTCTTTGTATGTATACTGAATATAGTGTGACCACAGACCACATCTTACCATTGTACCCAAAAACTGAGAACACAATTTCATACATAGATCTAAGAGTTATTTCCACAGTGAATGAATGACATTATCTACCATGCTTTTTCTTGCTTCAGCAAATGCTTTTTTCTCCTCTTCTATACGCCTTCTGGCCTCCTCTTCCGTTCTTCTTCTTTCTTCTTCTTGCCTCTGCCTTTCTAATTCCTCAAAGCCAAGTATCAGTTTCCCAGGATGCAACTCCTTGATAGAATTTTCACTCTCTGTATCATCACCATCTACATTCATCTTTGGGAAACAAAACACACAAAAAAAACCCAGTCTTTTAAAAGAGCAGTCAAAGATGCAGATACGCCAAGATATACTCAGTATAAAAAATGTACAGATGTGGATGTAGTTTGTTTACCAGTGAACTCGACTCAGGAATATTTTTAAAATGACAACACAGTAAAGAATATAGTAGTCATGATTTTTTAAATGTATGGAATAAAACCCAAACAGTGATATAAACTTGCCAAGACAATGGTAACTATCCAGCCTACAGTCAATCTTTTTGGATGCTTGAGCACTCACTAAGACCACAAAAAAGCAGCAAAGTTAAAAATACTTTGGTCTTTTTTAATAATTTTTTTTTTTGCTAAAACATCGTACATTTGACAATGCAATCCTAAGCAGGTCTGCTCAGGATCCTACTGGAGACTACTTAATGGGGCTAGAAAGTGTTTTTAGGATTGCACTGTGATTTTGCCATATTTCCCTTTCATGACGACTTGTATGTCAGAACATACCATTTGCTGCCTTGCTTCCTCAAAGGCACGTTTTTCCTCTTCTAAGCGTTGCCTTGCCTCCTCTTCTGCATGCTTTCTCTGATTTTCCTGTCTTTGTCTTTCTAGTTCTTCAAATGTTAATTTCACTTTTCCAGGAGAGGGAGATTCTTTTCTTTCACTGTCTTTGCTTTCATCATCTTCCTATATAGCGAGTTTATGATCAAAATATAAACATCATATTAAATTTAAATTAATAGGTTACCTAGAAGCAGTTCTAAAGGTAAAGGTTCCCTTGCTCGAAAGCCAGTCGAGTCCGACTCTAGGGTTGCGGTGCTCATCTCCGTTTCAAAGCCGAAGAGCCAGCGCTGTCCGAAGACGTTTCCGTGGTCATGTGGCCGGCATTACTAAACACCAAGGCGCACAGAACGCTGTTACCTTCCCACCGAAGTGGTACCTATTTATCTACTTGCAATTTCTTGCTTTCGAAATGCTAGGTTGGCAGGAGCTGGAACTAGAGACGGGAGCTCACTCCGTCATGCGGCAACTCAGGTATCGAACTGCTGAACTACTGACCTTCCACAGCCTGTAGTTCAGCGTCTTAACCACTTGAGCCACCGCAGTTCTACATAGCGATCAATGGAGCCTACTGCTGCATAGATTCCAGTTCAATAGCAGCTTAAAGGCCAACAAGATTTTGGGTGGTCAAAGCTCCCTTTGTCCACCACTTCTAACCACTACAACATAGCTACCCTCTGAAATTACTTCTGTATAAGCATACTTAGTATTGGCATGCAAAGGTTTTGCTTACCACAACTGGTGAAAAATATTTCACTTCCTTGAGAGCTTGCTTTTCCTGCTCATATCTCAGTCGTTTTTCTTCTTCATGTTTTTGCCTTTCTTGTTCTTCCCTCTCTTTTTCTAGGTCCTCAAAACTTATTTTCATCTTCCCAGGTGATTTGGTATGTTTTACAGGAACTACAGTTACTAGCAATGAATCATCGCCTTCCTGTTGCAAACACAAATTTTGCCATGAACACTGGAATAGAACAGCTGCTGCTACCTACAAATAAACTTCTACCAAAGCATCAGTGCAGGACCAGGGGGAGAGAAACCAAAATCCACAGCCACAGCAGAATTAAACAATCTTCCAAAAAAAAAAAAAAGACAATGGGAATAGTTGCTCCAACTCTGCTATCAGCAACCATTCATAAACCATAATGAGACACAGCATTTGTACAGCATTTCACTTCTATTATCTTGTTGTAATTAATACAACAATCCTTGAAGGTAGGCCGGAATTGTCCTCATATTACCACTGAAGCAGACAGCCAGACAGAGAGACTTGCCTAACTAAGCAGAGGCAAGTATTGAACTTCCTGATTCCCAGCTCAGTCTCTTAGCCACTATGCTGGAGCAGTCATACAACCTTACTGTGACAATTACACATTGACCATTATCTAAAACAGGACTCTAAGACATGCTAGAGCAGGGGTCTTCAGCATGGTGCCTGTGGGTATAACGGAACCTGCTAAGTGTTTTTAGAAAGTGGTAGGGGCCAGGTGGAACTTTTGCCCAGCAGAGCTTCTGATTGGCCACTGCAGATCTGATTCGCTGTGTGCATTTTTTAAAAAATTGCTTCAGCAGCAGGTGCCACCAAAGCATGAGGATCTTCACTGTGCTGTAAGAAAAATATTTCAAAATATGTATTCATTTTAAAAGGCACCCTGCATGAACTTCTGCCTGAAGTATTGAAAAGTTACCATAAATCATACCCTGAAGTTTTTGTGGTTGACTCTGCCTCTTGTGGCAGTCATTTTGTGGTTGCATCCACCACCCTGTTTCAGAATTCCAAAACTGCCCACTGACTCGAGAAGGCTGGGGATCCCTACTTTATAGCATGCCATGATATACAAAGAATAAAGCTGGCAGGGAAACACATTTTTAAAAAACTGACTCATGTATCATCTCAAAACTTAAGTTGGTGAACTGAATTCTAATATTCTCATACAGGTAAAAAAAATCCAACCCTGTGAAGCGTAACATCTATCTTTGTATTGGTTTGACTGGTTATCAGGTACTTCAGATGATGTGAGTCTTCTTAAATCTTAATTGACTTGACTGACATCTTTTAAATGGTGCTTTACCCGTATGCTATGACCTATATGCTATTTAATACTTTAAAAAGAATAGTCCAAATTTCATCTCATGACCAAACAATCAGATTTCATGAAGTTTTAAATGCTACCATATACAGAAGGGTTTGTCAATTAAGAATTAATTAACTATCATATGGCAGTGGGTGTTGTATAGCCAGGAGATCCTAAGATTGTCTGGCAGCCAAAAGTTCTATCTCTTTTGTGCGTTATGCACAACTAGGTGTTGAGCTAGACTTGGGGGGGGGGGCGCTGAGAGAACTATGAGAGCTGTGAGTGGCCCAAGGTCACCCAGCAGGCTTCATGTGGAGGAGGAATGGGGTATCAAACCCAGTTCTCCAGATTAGAGTCCACCACTTCTAACCACTACAGCATGCTAGCTCTCTCAGTTAATAGTGCTGAAGAAGCACACAGCAAATGTTCAGGGTCTATCAAAGAGATGCCCTGTGCTTACAAAGTAAAAAGTGCTCCCCCCAAAATCAACATAACCCACAGAAATAATTCATGTTCCGTTGGAGAGTAAATCAATCCTACTGTGCCACTTTAGTAGATATGATGCAAATGGAGAACTGTGACATAACAGCTGAAGTGGTATTCTGTACTTGGCACATGCGGGACCATGAAGTACATTACCTGTTTGATGCTAACACTCCTATTACCACACAGTTTCTAGCATATATTTCCTTTTTGGCGTGTAAGATGTTCCCTACCAGTCCTGTCTTCTTTTCCAGCTCTGCTGTGGTTTCAAACCAGGCCCCCCCCCCCCAACCCAACTGGGTGCCAGAATGGTGTCAAAAAGCTCTGCTGTGCAGCACAGAGAAATGGCAACATAGTTGCATCAGAGATGGTGTACTGTCACTGTTTGAAGGAACTGACTTTTCCTCGTGGGAGTCACCATCTTGAAAGATTCTGCATATAAGGATGCTCAGTTACCAGCCACAGAATGATAATAATTCTTTTATTAGCTTCCTTTAGGACCACAACGTAAATCATCTTAAATCTAAGTACTTCAGTTTAACAGGGTTACAGTTTAGGCAGTTAGCATGTGATTAACTGTGTCCCAAGTTTAAAGTGCAATTCATAATCACTTGCTTTTAAATACGTTAGAAGTAGAATGTCAATTCCTGTTCATTAAAGGTAACTAATGAACCAAATTATTTTTAAAATATCCTGCAAACACAAAGAATTTTTAATAATGTTTCAAAGGTGACTTGGAGACCTGGGGCCACAAACATCTTAATTCCATTATTGTAAATGGGTGTATGCCTAATGACAATAGTGCTGTCAGAATATAACCCAAAGGCAAATATACAGCTGTAACTGTAATGGTATCACCCATGGATGATAAATGGAAGAACGGCTATAAATGCTAGCACACCATCACATTTACCCTGTTACTATGAATCCCGTGATGTTCCATCAATTCACTGGTAGCAGCAACTCAGTCACTGTTCTACTCCGATAACAAAATTCTAAGGACTATGTCATCATCTCCATATCAACCAGCAGATGTTATTTCAGAGGGCCCTTCATATTACACTAGAACAGCAGATAACTGATTTGAAGAGAGATACATTTTACTTTAAAGGATTAGATGGAAAAATGGAAAGCAACGTAAAGCGTGCACCATGCATGCCACTAAGCGGCGAAGAGTCACACACAAGTCACATGTAAAGTGATAGCCAAATAATAGTAATTCTGCAGATATATTTGACTCGGCAACAGGATGATAACAAAATGTGTTAAATGTGATATCTAACAGTGTTCATCTACAAAAGTGATCTCACATATTTCCCCAAAATCTAACACTCAGTACTTTTTAACCCAGGCATTACTACAATAATAACAGTGAAATGGGTGGATGTTTCATTGTAAAGAAGTCTGATTACCTCTGATGTTGAGTCAGTTCCCGAATTGTTAAATTGTTCATCGATCTATTAAATAAGAATTTTAATAATGTTACTTTCGCTCTCTGCCTGCTCCTTTCAAACATAAAATGAAAATATTGATGAGTGTTTATAAATTAAAATTTGGCACTAAAATGTGCAAATATAGTGCACTTCACTTACAGTGCCACAGTTAATTGATACAATCACTTATGTCCTGGTAAGATATTACTGGCCAGAAAAAGAAAAATCTTAATGCAGTAAGTAGATCAGGCCAATAGAATAGCCCCCGGTGCCATGTGAAGCAGATCAGCACAACATTTGACCCAGCAAGTCAAACCCAACCCACCAGCCATCTGTTATGGCCTGAAAGGTGCTTGACAGCTCCCCCACACACACATTGTTGCAGCTATAGACAGGCATCAAAAACAGGAGGGTTACCATGCCTTGGGTAAGCTGCCTTAGATGGCTGGTGGAGTAGTTTGGGGATGATGAATCATACGTTGCTCAGGCCTGTTGTGGAACAAGTAATAAGTGAATTTGGCTGTCCTCTGATGAGTCTGTAACCCATTTAGAATCCATGACTGATCCATGGTCAAGGATGGCCTATGTGGAAATGCAGTACAACCCCATTAATGTGTTACTTTCGCCACATGGTAATGCACCTGGAACTCTTATTGAGTTGAAATCTCTCCCAGGACAGTAATGTCTAACCAGGATCTTTGCCTATACAAAACGCAGACACCACTGACTGCTTCAAGCATTTTATTGTTCTCAAATATGGACACCAGAGTACAAAATAGATGCACTGTCAACTATGAAGCACCTGTACATGTACAATTTGATGCACATCCAGGGGTCATTTCGTAGAAAAAGAGCTAGGGGAACTCATTAGCATAACTCATTAGCATATGCCACACCCCCTGACATCAGGGACCCGGCGGTGGACCTGCAAGGCTGGCGGGAGTGCGAGGAAGCCCCGCCAAGGCCCTCTCTGGCCCCAGGCAGGCAGGGGTGGGGAGAGCAACTTACTCTCCCTCTTCTCCTGCCTCCTCCTGGCTGAATGAGGGCTGGAAGCGGGGCGGCCGGAAGCAGGGGGTGGGGCTTCGTCGTGTGCCCCGCCCCCCGCACCTCACCCGGGGGAACTGCGATCCCCCGCGTTCCCCCCCCGAAATGACCTCTGTGCACATCCCTTTTCAAACATCTATAAGCAGTGATCAGAAAAGATCTAGCTTCTGCTTCCTAGTAATTAAAGCACCATTCCCGATTTCTACAAGCATACCCTTCACTCTTGACAAAGTGATGATGTGTTCAGACATTCCACCCAAGTACAAAATCTACTGTGCAGCACCATCCTGTGTGCCTCTCTTTTTCAAGACAATACATTGTCATTTAATTAACAAAATCCAGTGTCCGCTCTTTTTAAAGTTAAATGCTTAATTATTAGTTATCCACACTTCACTTTACATTGTGACAATGATACTTAAAAAGCAATTATTTTCTGGCAGGCAAACATGTCTTAGTTATAATCTATAACAATAAGCATTTGTTACTTGCAAACAGCGAAGTGCCAAGAGGAGAAATTTACAAAGACCACTGTCTGGGGGCAGCTTTGCTCCTCAATTATTACAGCAGGAGGATGACATGGCAGTCTTTCCCCCAGCTGCTGACTGAGCTAAGAAGGACCCAGCAGAAACCAGAGACAGAGGTGGGCAGGTGGGAGCCACAGCAGGATGGGGCACTTCAGCTGGTGGTGCTGTGGACTGCCATGGCACAGCCCATATCCCAGAAGAAGAAGAAGAGGAGATTGGAATTATACCCCGCCCTTCACTATCCAAAGGTGTCTCAGAGTGGCTTACAAACTCCTTTCCCTTCCCCTCCCCACAAGAGACACCCTGTGAGGTGGGTGGGGCTGAGAGAACTCTGACACAAACTGCTCTTTCAGGTCACATCAGCAGGTGCAAGTGGAGGAGTGGGGAATCAAACCCGGTTCTCCCAGATTAGAGTCCGCACACTTAACCACTACACCAAACTGGCTCTCTTTTATCCCAGCCACCTGCCATGCAGGCAGCAGATGATATACCTTAGGGGAGGAAGACAGGCCCTGACAGGAGTCAGCCGGGGCCAAGCCTGGCCCAATGAGCAGTGAGCCAGCTGTCAGGCCGAGGCCCTGAGTATGCTGGGAGGAGGGGCGGAACATAAAAGGGAAGGCTCTGTCCAGGTCCCACCAGGTCTGCAGCTTTTTTGGGGGGGGGCAGAAGTCAGAGGCAAGAATCCCCAGCCAGAATCTCATCGGTTTGGGGTCTTGCCAAGCAGAGAAAGAAGGAGGAGTGGAGCCCAGAGGTGCTCCTTCTTCAGGCAGACCTTTAAAAGGCAGGCTGAAGGGGGACCAGGCCACGTGCCAAAAGAGTGCGGGAGAGTCCTGGTGGAAGCAGGGGAGAGGTTGCTTGGTGAAGGAACCCCCTTCCCCTTTTTGCTTTTCTGAGGGACTCCTGAAATCTAGCCTAGAGAAAAGGATCCTGGAGGGTGCAACAGCTGTCGGTTCTCCCTCAGAACAGAAGCAGAAAACTACCTTCCCCATTAAAAGTTTGGGCCAATATAATGAATTCCCCCTCCCCCCCCCCCGCTCATTGTAGACATCCACATAGCTCACACCATGCTCAAGCACACTCAAGCCAAATTGCATTCAATATCTGCATTTCAGTACGAGGTCCATAATGCTGATGGTGCTTGTAAATAGGGCATGAAGTACTGAAAAACAGCTTTCTGGAGGCTAAATATTTAAATCACCCCTTAATAGTGAAACAGAAGCAACGGAAAGGAATGCTTTAACTGTTTTGTAGCCATTTTTTGACAACTGATTCATTGTAAGAAACTTCCAGTGCACACAGAAGCCAAAGTAGCTACCTTGAGCACAGCCAATTATTGAAGAGACAATTATGGAAACCTTTCTTGATGCTGGTAATGATGGCTGTAAGCAATAGTGGGATTTCTAATGACTCAGTATTTGCGTATTAGCCACTACTCACTGCTTAAAGGCATACACAGTAATCATCAGTGAGGTCTTAAAATTAATGCTGGTGAGAGGCATGCTAGTCATTAATCTACTCAACTGAATGAAATTACTTTTCATTCCATGCAAATAAGGCAATTCTTTTTTCTGCAAAATAGCCTCAGAACTGCACTTGAACCAACAGTTTCTTTTTTAAAAAAATTAAGAAATCTGCACCATTAAGATATGGTACCAAAACTCCAAATTTGGGCTGATTTCACCTTAAGGGGTTTTTTTTGTGGCGGGCATGGAGCTGGGGTGATTGTTGCTCAATTCACGCAACGGAGATTCTACATAACACAAGGTAATCCGCTTTTTCATCTTCATTTGCTGTCATCTCCCTTTCACACCGTTGTTATGCTGCTGTCCTGATTCTCCTCCTTCTGTGATGTCTCTGAAGAAGCCAAACCAGACTGGAACTTGCCTAGCTTTACCTCCTGTCCCAAAGACAAAACTGACTACTATTTGCCCAGAGGATGGTAATTTCTAGTTTTCAGACAGAGTACTTGTAATTTGAAAATGTAAACCATTCTATTCAGCAATTCAAAAATAATAAAATTGATTTAACTGTTTAATTGATGAATACCCAAGCTGTATTCATAGGTAAGTAGTTAAAGAGAAAAAGTGTTTCAGAGGTGAAGTGTAAATGAGCAGTAGAAAAAATATGTAATGCCTATAAATATTCCTAAATATTCCTTTAGTTATTCTCAATGCAACACTGTCAAGGTTACAAGAGTTTTTAAAAACTATATATACAATAGAAAGCTTTGATTTTACAGTGGATTCGATTCTGCAGATCCGTCTGCTGGCAGAAGTGCTTTCCTCCAGTGGAAGGCTCCTTCTGTCAGAGGAAAAAACATGCCTCCGTTAATAGGACAGGCTTACAGGATGCAACCCACACGGTGAATGTTATCATGTATGTTTTATTTCCATTAAGTTGCTTTTGTATTACAAAGATAGTTTGTTGATTCTTATAAGCATACCTCTTGTGCCCTCTTTGCCAGTTCTCTCTGAATTTTCCTCTTCTCTATCATGTCTTGTTCAATCCTTCGTTGTCTTTCTTCTTCCATTCTTTTTCTTTCTTCCTCTTGCCTTTGCTTTTCCATTTCAGCAAACTTTCCTTTGACAGTTCCTATGAACAGTAAAAGGAACAACAATGAACTTAACCTTTGTCCCTCTGCTTATTTATTTGACATTCCTATACTGTTTTTTTTTGCTGCAGTTGAGTAATAAATAACAATGGTGAATTAAAATGTCACAATAAAAAGATTAAGTTTCTAAATTCTTAAGATTCAGAATTGCTATTGAAAAACAAAGTCCCAAAAGGCGTCCTAACAACAACATAGGAATAGATTTTTAAAAATCCAGCAGTCCTTGGATTGATGATAGTTTACATGGCAATAGTTTCACAGGATAGCCATGTTGGTCTGCAGCAGAACAGCTAGGTTAGAGTCCGGTAGCACCTTAGAGACCAGCTAGATTGGGGGGGGGGGTGAGCTTTCAAGAGTCAAAGCGCCATTCATCAGATGACGTGAGCTCTGACTTTGAAAGCTCATACCCCAAAATTCCAGTTTAAGTTGTGAAATTCAGCAGTATAGTAGAATGAAAAGATTTTTAAGGCCCAATGTAGACCCACTGCTGAGAAAGTAGAACAGCATCATCAGCATAATGGAGAATAAGCACTGGACGGCCTGTCAGTTTAGGGGCATGCAAGCCATCCGCTGTAAGTTTCAGAGGGAAATTGTAAATGCAAAGATTGGAAAATGGTAGGACCAGCACACATCCATGGCATACTCATCTGGTAGCTACAAATGGGTTATTTAAACAGCCCTGATAGTTACATCACACCCTCACTTTGGATGGAACATTGAGCTGATTAATTAGATTTAAGAGCCTAGGTGGTACTGAGCCTCAGGTTTCCCTCATAGTCACCTATGCAAGATGGAATCCAATGCAGCATGCAGATTATAGTTTACCCTCCTTTTGAGAGGTATACTTTTCAGCCAGATGGGGAAGAATATGTGCATAGTGCAGGGTCAAATTCTCCTTCCTGAAGCCTATCTGTTCAAGGCCTGAGATGGCAGAGTTCTCATCCAAGTTTCCAGTCTTGGAAGTAAATGGGTAGCATATACTTTACTCAAAACAGAGAGAAAGCTAACTGGGCAACAGTTAGTGGGATCGTTACTATCCCCCCTTTAAAAAAAAATCTAGATTACAATAGTCTGCCTCCACTGATGAGGTATGTTCCCAGATGCACCAATATCTGTAAATTATTTTACAAGTACTGGGGCCCACCAGGCAGAATCAGTTTTAAACAGATCTGGAGGAATATAATCTGGCCCCAGGGCTTTGCCAGCCTTTAAAAAGTTAAAAAGTGGAATTATCTCATTCATGGATGCCAGCTTTCAATAGCACAAGTTATCATAAAGATTTGGATTGACAGAAGGGAGATTAACATGAAGTCATTAAATAATTTTAAATAAAGAGCACGAGAAGAATTGGAGTTAGAGGACTTGAAAAGATTATAGGTCCTCAATATCAAATGTTTTTAAGCATCTGCACTCTGTATCAAACCATCTCGGGTAAAATGCAGTTGTCCTGGATTGGACCAGGGGCACAGAATAATTTCAGTGCAAGAAATGTATCAAATGGAAAATGAGTAGAGGCAATTACTAGGGTCAGGGGATGAAATTGTCTTATCCCACCTCTTTTGATTCCATCTCTTAGGCTTGAGTGTGGAAGCTGATATTGAAGATAGAAGAGGAAAAGAGGATGGTATAATCAGAGAAGTGCGGGAAGGAATACTAAGATAGATCAACAAATGCAAATAGACACTTTAAAAAATCTTGCCAATTTGAAAAGCAGATACCTGATCTTTAAAAAAGGATGAAGCAAGCATCAATACAGCCAAAAAGACTTGAGCCTCTAGGGAAAAGATAAGTAAAATTTCCCCCTAGAATTGAACTAGTGGTTACCATTAATTATCGTGAAGCTAAAGTTGGCAGCAAATTTGATCAAATGGAAGTTTACAAAATATGTTATCTGATCCTTTGTGGATCTGTTTCCCAATAGCAGATGTAGATAGTAAGTGTCCAAAGGCCAGCACTCAGAATTAACCACATCCTCATCTATAGGACCCAATCAAGTATTTAGATCACCAGCCAGAAAAAGGGACCTCTGAGAAAAAAGAAATGTAGACACAAAGTTCTAAACAACTCCAGGAAGAAAGAGTTTCTTTGTTAGAAGGCTGGGAAGGCAAATAAACATTGATCAAAATAAATTACAAAGAATTTGACTGAATAAGGACTCAGATAGCTATTGTGGGGAAGACAGATAAGTAAAGTACATTGTACCTTCAAATCACTGGAGATAAGACAAGCAAGGCCTGTCTTTTGATTAAGCACTGGAATTAGAGAAAGAGGGAAATCAGGAAATTCAATTGATTCAAAGTTATACCTGGAGAAAGATAATATCACAGAGTCATAGATTCTGGGCCAGTTCCTGATTAGAGGATTTTCTAGCCCATTCTGCAATGTTCCACAACATAATTGTTATGGTTTTCCTTGAACTCCACCAATGTCATTGGTCCAATACTTCTATAGTGTTGGTTTTATTTTAGGGATGCCAGCCTCTAGGTGGGGCCTGGGGATCTCATAGAATCACAGCTCATCTCTAGAACACAGAGATTAGTTCCCCTGGAGAAAATGTATGCTTTGGAGGGTGGCCTCTGTAGCATTGTACCCCTCTGAGGTCCCTTTCCTTCACAGGCTCTATCCCCAAATTTCCAGAAATTCCCCATCTTGGATCTGACAGTCCCCCACTGGTGGCTGGGGGGGACCTGGCAATCCTATTTTATTTCCTAGAGCACCAATATTAGAGCACCTAACATGAGGACTCAGAGAGACGACTGGGGAGTTATTGGAGATTTTCAGATGGCCCTGGCCAAGATGGGCATTCTCTAAAAGCCTCATAGTCTGCCAGTCTGAGTCTGTTGAAGTTGAGAGATTTAAAGCTGGAGAGTTAAACATCAAGAGAACACACCTAACGTCCTGAGGGCTAGGTGAAATAAGTCTTGACCAGAGGTCAAGTGTATGATATTGTTTATCCAAAAGATATGCCAAATCATTTTTGACAGCCCAGCAGTTATCCCACCTTGGAAGGCAAAACAATGACAACTCAACTTTTTAAAATATCTGGGGCAGTATATATTTCCTTTTCTCCATCCAGATTCCTTGTCCACTGTTTGTGCTGATATGCACAATTTACTACAAAGGGGGTAGGTTAACAGCAGAGATTCTGCTAGCCAGTTTGTTTTTTTTATCATAAATCTTGTGCAAAGTTTCAGTGCTTAAGAGAGTTCAGCTAGTACACACAGTTTTCCTCAACAACCATGTTTCAACTAGTTGTCAAAATGCCAGAAATGAAATGTCAAGGCATGCCTCCAACAGAAGCATATTCCTTAACATGAGCACTACCATAGAGAAGGCATGACTCCATGCCTTGGAAGTTCTTACTTCTTTTAAGAGGCAGAAGGGAACAATACCTTCCCTGAAGATCTAAGGGAAGAACATATGGAACAAAGTGTCCCTGAATGGTCTGTGGCTTTAAATTATGAAGGGCTTTTATCACTGGCACTTTGAACTGGGCCTGCATGCCATGAGGCAGATAGCCCATGCAGTGAGGCCAGAATAAGATAAATATGTTCCCTGCTTTTCTCCTCTCTTGAGCAATGAGCCACAGCATTCTGCAGTAGCTACAGCCTCCTAATAGTCTTCAAATGTTATCTCAGGTAGACTGCACTACAGTAAATACCTGAAGCTCCCAAAGTATGGATGTCTGTGGCCCAATCTCTGAAAACACGGACTTTTTTTCTTTGTTCTTACCTGACAGTTTTGGAACGTAAGCTTTCTCCACCTTAGAAGACTGTGTTTCTTCATCATCATCAGAAGCAAGTAGTTCTTTCATCTAAATAATAGAGCAGAGATATTAATGTGACTGACACTAACAGTTTGAAAGCAAAGTTCTAAGGAGATTTTATACAATGTTAGAAAATGTTTTATTTCAGAATGTCAACGTTTACATATTTGTACTGCACAGTAAAAATCTGTAAGTTATTTTAAAAGGTTAAAAGGTTAAAAAGAAGAAAAAATATTTGCAAAGAAAATGACCTCCTGTTTTCGCCTGTTCCATTCTCTCTCTCTAACATATTGTTCTTTTCTTCTTTGCTTTTCATCTCTAGATCGTCTTTGATTTCTTTCTTCCCTTGCTTTCTGCATGGCTTCAAATTTATCCTTTACATCACCCTTTCGAAGTTTGGGCACATAGGACTTTGAGACAGGTTTAGACGAAGAAAGGATAATCTTTGTGAGGATAGTAGACGAGGCAAAGAATAAGATGAGGAAAACATGACAGAAGCAGATGAAGCAAAATTAGTAAGACAGACATGAAAGATATTGAATCAGACAGTAGAAATAATCAAGTTGTTTACTATCCTAAGTTGTATTATGCTATGTAGATTTACAATATTATTTTCATAATGAAGATAAAATGTCTTAGATTGATTCTGAGAAGATTCTGAGAAGACTCCTGCACCTGTGGGAGTTGGACAGAAGTTGAATTTTGCTAAATGACGTATTCTCATGGCATTCTCCAGTGAAGTATGAGAAAAGTATGAGAAAAGCTGTGTCTGGCAGGCATTTTCTTTTGCAGAAGGCATGAACCCTCTCAAGAACAAGATCCGGCAACTCTAATCTTGTTTCTACTGACTCTAATCTTGGATCTTTCAGTAACTTGGATGTATAACTTGAAAAATAGACTTTGTTTAAATTTTAACAACAGCTCCACCACTAGTAGAGCCAAAGACTCTGGCCACTGCAAATTCCATCTACGTATATATCCCACTCATTTTAATTGTACTGAAACCATGGCTGATTTGAGGATGTAGAAAAGAACAAGAGTCCAGTAGCACCTTAAAGGCTTACAAAATTTGTGGCAGGGTATGAGCTTTCGTGAGTCATTGCTCACTTCTTCAGATAAAGCTAGAATGTGGGTACATCTGTCCTATATATTGGAAAGTGGAGTGATTTCAGATGCTGAATAACATTAGCAGGCAAAGGACAATAACAGGTGAATGAAAATACCAGGTGTGAATGGATTAGATGTGATATGCAGAGAGGTACTAGGTGTGGAGAAATCAGCATTGGTAATGAGACAGGAAACCTAGATCTTTATTAAGTCCAGATGGATGCATTGTCTTGAGCTTCATTGTCAGTTGCAATTTAGTAGTCTCTCTAATCTCCCTTTGAAATTCCTTTCTAAGAGGACTGCTACTCTTAGGTCAGCAACTGAATGTCCTAGAAGGTTAAAATGTTCCCCCACTAGTTTTTGAATGCTGTGGTTTCTAATTTCAGACTTATGTCCATCAATTATTTGTTGAAGGGACTGACCTGTTTGTCCAATGTAGAGGGTGGAAGGGCATTGCTGACTAGAGATGTGAAGGCCCGGGGGGGGGGAAAGGAAAAATTCAGGGGAAAACCATTCCCTCCCCCCCATTTTTTTTCTAAAGCCTTTTTTGTTTTCCGAAAAATTGGAAAAAGAAAAGAAAAAAATTGATTATAGAACATTTTATTTTAACATGATGAATAAAATATTTTAAGAAAAGGTGTTCAAATATTTTCCAAATCATTTCTAAAAAATATGTATGGTATCAGATTGATCTAATTTCTGTGCACTGAGGACAAGCAAGTCCTAGGTTACAAACTGAACTCTCCAATGCAAGAACAAGATGCATTTCTTCCTTTAGGAGGTGCTATTGTCACAAGTAAAGAAAAAGGTTTCAGTTTTGGTTTTCCATGTGGGTGGGTATTCTGTTTGTAATAATTGTTTGGATACACTATATTTTTAATATGCTAGTTGTGACAATTTCATGCCAAATAAAAATGTCCATAGTCATATTTTATGTTCCTAAAGTAACAGAACGACTTTCAATCTGGAAAAGAAAAAAGAAGTGCTAATGTAGCATTTTTTTCAATTTTTCTGAAAATTTCCATTTTCCCCCGGGAAAAAACGGGGGGAAACCGGGTTTTTTTTCTGAGCTTCAAAATTTCTGGAAATTTTACATCTCTATTGCTGACACATTATGGTATAAATCACATTATAAATCACATAGATGGACTCACATTCTAGCTGTATTTGAAGAAATGAGCAGTGACTCAGAAAAGCTCATACCCTGCCACAAATGTTGTAAGTCTTTGAGATGCTACTGGACTCTTATTCTTTTCTACATTCTCAAATTCTCAAAGAAATACTGCTACAGACAGATGTGGCTACCCATCATGGTCTAATTTAAGAATATGACCATTGCATTAATTTTTTTAAAATTCGATCATTGTTTTAGTACTAAACACATGACAGCATATAAACACATACAAAACTGCTTCTGGTTCTATAAGTCAGATGTACGTGCACAGTTAAGTGATATGTTACAAGCAGAGGACACAGAATGTGCAATAAGCGTCTGATCAAAAGAACTTGTAGTGAACCTGAGAAGACGCAAAGAGAATATGGGGTTGGATCCACACTACATTTTTCACTAACAGAAGGGGAAATACAATTTCTGCCAGTTCCCCCCTGCTGGTTCAGAATGCCAATTTGCCCTTAATGCTATTCCTGGTAGTTTTATGTCCCTCAGGAACAGTGTATCGGAGAGATCAATGAGATGCAGAGGGAGGGGGAAAACAGGGAATTTCTGTCTACCTTGTGTTGGTGAAAATTTTAGCTTGGATCTAACCCATAGTGAAGTTCAGGAACTCTGCTGAACTCATGGAGCTTCCTTGCCCAAAATGGCTTCCCCATTCATTTAATTACACAGGAGCCAATCTGTGTCTGCTTTGCTTTAAACTTCTGAATTCCTATTAATTTCTTGATGGAAATAACTAAACATAATTATATCTTGAAGTTTATGTCTTCATGCCAAATGTCCTACCTCTCTAGGGAAGTCCACTTAACATTTTGAGTATCACAGCTCCGTGGCTTATGCTGTTATTTCTTTCATGTCAATTTATTAAAGCCAGAAATCCTCATACATACCTCTGCCTTCTGTGCAATGTCATTCATGGCTACTTTCTGGGATCCAGCACCAGATGTGTAGAAAATGTACGTTTTCAGGCTTTACCTTGTAGAAAAAAGGAGTCATTACTGCCATGTGAGTAATATGTTTTAGTCAACCCTTTACTTTAGTAATCTAGGGAAACAGAATACACGCCTAGTTGTGTCACAGGTGTGACACAATCATGGCCTACTATATATGAAGGCAGGAATTAAGCAATCCTTTGGTGTTCTTTCTAATGTTCAATGTGAACTTCCAGCATTTAATTTAAAAAAATCTTCCATTTAATTTTTTTACTATACTAACTATACTAACATTAGCACACTGATGAATGAATTTAAGCACAAGAAGACAGACTTTCCAAAATTAAAGATAATAAAGGTAAGTCTAAAAAGGGTGTAATTTCTTAATCTGCAGAAAACTGTTTTATGAATCTGCTAGGAATAATAAGGCAACACAAGTGAAAAATAAATTCACTTTGTTCAGCTGAATTGTACCAAGTACCAAATACGCTTAGCTACTTTCATGTCTCAGATCTGTAAATACTTCTTGTAAGGAAACCCATCAAAATTAAAACATTTCATTTTCCTCTTACATTGCGTAGGCTGAACATACACATATTTCACAAATATGAATATTGTACATATGGAATGGAGAAACTGTTAAGCAGATAACACTCCACATAACAAGTCAAAGGTATACTTAAATAGCTTTCCAGAACTACAAAAATTACTACAAGTTTTTTGCACATACAGTCTATGGCAGGTCAATCTATATCATATGGTGCCTCTCTGCTGCCCACATGCTTTTAGTGGATGCTGAAAAATGTGACGTGAGATTACAAGTAATTTATACAGGTATCTCATGCAGGTACATTTCCTAGAGAGCTAGGATTGGCTGCAGTTCCCTGCCACATATTCAGTAATCCATATTTTGTTCCTATACTGGAACATTTAATATCGCCAGTGAAGAAGAAGTTTATTATAACAGTCATAGACCAGGTAATATATCACCAGTGAAATCACAATGCTATGGATAGAAGATAGTCCTCTCATCCACTTCAACCTGAACCTAAAGAGCAGTAGGAACTTGTTGGCTTGGATTGAAGAAGAAGAAGAAGAGATTTATACCCTGCCCTTCACTCGGAGTCTCAGAGCGGCTTACAAACTCCTTTCCCTTCCCCTCCCCACAACAGACACCCTGTGAGGTAGGTGGGGCTGAAAGAGCTCTTGACAGAACTGCCCTTTCAAGGACAGCTCTTGTCAGTGTTGGTGTATAAGCTTCAGCACTATGATCAGGAGCATCTATGTGACAGTTGACAGCTGCACTGGACTAGATTCAGCCAGTTTGGACTTAGGCAGAGGCAAGCCAAGTCACCATGATTCAGCACTACTCTGATTGGCTGATCAATGTATATATGTGAATGTATTGCACTGTATTCTCTCTCTCTGATGGTGGATGGTGTCTGGCGGAGCACTTTGTTAGAGAACTGTATAATTTGTAAATAAATTCCTGTATATAGTAACCACTGGATTGTTTCAGTGTGGTTGACTATAGAAAAGCCTCTGGTTGCAAGAAATGACTGCTGGAGAGTGCAAGTGTGACTGAGGTGCTGGTTCAACTGTTCCAGATGCGCTGCGAACAGGGTTATGGGCCCAGAATATTGAACCAAGCACTGTGAACTCAGTCCTGCACCCAGCTCTGCATTTTGAACTTGCCGGTGTTACTGCCATGGTTGCTGACCAGCCCGGCAGTTTCCAGAAGGTCTGGAAAGCTGTGGAAGCCGAGAGCCAAAAGTTGTGGATTGTTGCTTCTTCCTGACGTGGAGGAGGAATATCAGCTCGGTCAAGCCTCTGGCATCAGCTTGTAACAACATCAGAAGGTAACAGATAACAGCTCGGGGGAGTCGAGGGAGCCGGTGAAAAATGGCCCAAGTCTCAACGACGCAGTGGATGGACAAGCTCACCTCTTCAAATTATGACATATGGGCGCTCCAGATGAAGCATTATTTGATAAGAGAGGGTCTTTGGCTGTATGCACATGACCCACCAGACCCAGTTCCTTCTGGAGACGTGCCCAAGGTTGAGCGGGCAACATGACCCAGTTCCTTCTGGAGCGGGATGCCCAAGGTCATCCAGCAGCTGCAAGTGGAGGAATGGGGAATCAAACCCGGTTCTCCCAGATCAGAGTCTGTGCACTTAACCACTACACCAAACCGGCTCTCTAGCTCAAATTGATTGTGTGTCTCTGAGCTAGTCAGACTTTTTCCATGTGGGTTACTTGCCCTGGATTCAATGCTGTTGGGAAGCATGGTGCATTCACACATCTCCCAGGTTCTCCCTGGCTTCTCTCTATGTAAGTCTCTAGGATATCTCTGCAATGAAATAGGCTACAGATGCATTTTTTAAAAAAATGAAAGATGGGAATTCTGAGATATATAGATTGCTATACCAGTATAATGATATTCAATTGCTGATTTAAAAAAACCCTAGAGAAGCCCTGGGGACAAGGTAGGAGGAAAATGACCCTGCTAGGGGATGGGGCAGGGAGACTTGGCATATGGAAGCCCCTGTATTGGAAGGCACAGCAGCAACAGGAAAACCATACAAGCCTTTCCCTGTATGGAAAACACCATAGATTTGATCACCCCAGATGTGCAGGAAAATCTCTCTGCCCCCCAGGTGCCCCCGATGTGCGGATTTAGATATCCGCACTCAGGGGTCGCTTTTGCTATTAGATATATAGATGACAGAGTCCACCTTCCAAAGTAGCCATTTTCTCCTGGGGAATTGATCTGTGTCACCTTGAGATCAATTGTAATCCCAGGAGTTCTCCAGCTACCACCTGGAGATTGGCAACTGTAGTATTTAATTTGTTCATAAATGATCTAGAACTGGGGGGTGAGCGGTGCAGTGGCTAAGTCTGTAGATGACAAAAAATTACAGGATAATGAAAATCAAGGCTAAAAGTGAACAGCTCCAGGAAGATCTCCACAAATTGGGTGAGTGAGCAAAAATGTAGCAAATGAAGTTACTAACTTCAAGTATATGCTAATAGGGTCTGAATTTGCTGAAACTGAGAAGGAAAGAGACCTTGGGGTCATAGCAGACTGCTTAATGAAAATGTCAACCCTGTATGTTGCAGCAATAAAAAGGCAAACTTTATACTGGGGGTTAATAGGAAAGGGATTGAAAATAAAACAGCCAGTATTATAATTACCCTGTATAGAACTATGGTGCGGCCTCTTTGGAATACTGTGTGCAGTTCTGATCGCCTTATCCAGGGGTCATTTCCTAGAAAAAGAGGTACAGGAGCTCATTTGCATAACTCATCTGCATATACCACACCCCCTGTCAAAGGGCAGGCATATTTAAAGTGAGTTAAGGCATATGCAAATGAGTTCAAATCCCCCCCTCCCTGAGTCGGTGGGTTGGCTGGAGACGGGAAGGGGAGGGAAGCAGACATGCCTGGTTCCCTGCCCAATCTTCTCCAGGTGCCCTCCGGCTGCAGGGCACCTGGAGAAGGTCGAACAGGGAACCCAAGCATTTAATTTCCCCCCCCCCCCCGCGTCCCCCCCAAA